CTGCAACGCGCAGGCGTGCGGGGCCGGGCCCACGCGTGCAGCCGCTGCCGGGCCCCCCTGCGGGGGTGCGTGGGCAGCTGCGCGCACCGAGGCACCCCCGCAACACGCGCGTGCGCCCACGCGCTGCACCGTGCACACCGGTGCGCAGTAATGCACCTGCACGCGCGGCTCTGCACGCGCACGTCTTTCCTGTGATAGTCCGTTCTGCAGTGCACGGACGTGTGCACATTTGCATGCACACGTGTGTGCAGCTGTGCATGCATGCACACGTATGCACACAAGCATGTAATCTGTGTGTGCACACGCATGCACGCACACGCACAAATGTGTCCACATGTGCCTGCCCCAGCAGAGTCCTGCTGCACCCTGCAACAGTCTGGGCCAGACATGGACCCTTGTGTCCCCAGCACACCCAGTGCGACTGTCCCCACCATCCCTTGCATGGGCACCTCGTCCCCCCAGTCTGTCCCCATCCCGCCATGTGCCCGTCCCCTCAGCAGGCAGGTGCACGATGTTGTTGCAAAGTGATTTATTGCCCCAGGAGCCTTGCAGGCACCTGGGGATGGGGACAGGGTGACAGTGGTGACAGTGACAGGGCTGTGACCCTAGGCGCCTCTTCACCTGCTGGACCCTAGAGCCACCCTGCAATGAGACACGGTTGAGGAGCTGCAGGGAAACCAAGGCACGGCCAGAGCAGCCCCAGGGCAAGCGGCCCCAGGGCCCAGTCCCAGCACCCCTCACCTGGGGGGCTCAGCACCCCACTGCTCCATAGGGCTCCTCGCAGAGCGCTCGCCCACCGGACCGCTTGCCGTACCTGCAGCAAAGCAGGGAGAAGGGGGCAATGGGGAACACGAAGCAACAGGGAGTGTTGCAATGGGGAGCACGCTGTGATGGGGAGCATGATGCAACAGGGAGCACAATGCAATGGGCAGTGCATTGCACTGGGGAGCACATTGCAACGGGGAGCGCATTAAGACAGGGAGCACGAGGCAATGGGAGAGCCCATTGCAAGAGGGGAGGATCCTGTGATTGCAATAGGAGAGAGCATCGAAACAGGAGAGCAGGGTGCAGCAGGGAGCACATTGCAGCTGGGGAGCATGTTGGAACAGGGTGACAAAATGCAACTGCAAGCGCGACACCCCGGGGCAGCACATTGAGCCAGGGAAGACTTTGCAGCGGGGAGCGCGTCGCGGTGGGGACGTATCTCACCGGTGCCGCGTGACCACCCTGAGGTACTGCTGCAGGTCGTCGTAGAAGCGCAGCAGCTCCTCCACCGGGGCGTCATCGCCAGGGTACGTGGGCTGCACCGGCCCCGCCGCGGCCGGGCGCCCGGCCAGCAGCGCCAGGCAGCAGGCGAGGAGCAGCAGAGGGGCCCAGCGGCTGCAGGGAGCCATGGCCTGCGGCGGGCAGCAGCGCTGAGACCAGGCACACACGTGCATGCATGCACAAATGCATGCACTCACACACATGCATGCACACACATGCACTTCCTCACACACTCACGCATGCACCCACTTGCATTCTGACTCTTGCACACTCACCCCTGCCCTTGTTGCACCCCCATTTCAGGCACTCGCTACCCCCTGTGTGCACATACCCGATTCGTCCTGTTTGCTCCTCAGTGCCTCCCCAGTGGACAGGGTCCGAGCGCGGCAGCACTCACCTGTTTCTGCGCGACGCGGCACAGGGACACAGGGACACAGGGACGCGGGACCCCTGGTACCGGCTACCTGGGCACCCGCTGCCACCCGCCTTTATATCCCCCTGCGCGGCGTCCCCACCGCGGCCCCCGCTGATGTCACCCGGCCACGCGTCCCCCCGGCCCCGTGTGCCCCCCCCGGCTTTGGTTAATGTTTGAGCCCTGCCAGACCCCCAGGATGGGGATGAGGACGTGGCCATGCGGGGGGGGACGTGGAGTCCAGCTGCCACCCCCAGAACGTGGCCGGGCATGAGCTGGGATAGGGATGGATGGAGAGATGGGTGGATAGTGAGGTGGCGGTTGGATAGAGGTAGGGATGCAGGGACACATGGAGGGATGGATGGAGGGACAATGGAGACAGGGATGGAGGGATGGATAGGCAGACGGATAAGGAAGGGATGAATAGTGAGGTGGCTGGCTGGATCAGAGGCAGGGATGGAGGGATGGATGGAGGGCTGGGAGGGCTGCCGGGCAGGGCAGAGGGGCCCCTGCGGAGACAGGAGGGTGCCCGGGGAGGTAGAGGGAAGGGGGGACGCGCTGGGGACAGAGGGGCAGGACAGCCCCCTACGAAATGCACCCAGTGCACCCCTATCCCCAGCATATCCTCATCCCTAATGCACCCAGTGCACCCCCATGCACCCTCATTCCCAGTGCACCCCACATCCAACACCAGTGCACCCCCATCCTCAGTGCACCCTGCATCCCAACACCTAATGCACCTGGCACCCAGTGCAGGGTACAGCCCCCTATGAAATGCATCCAGTGCACCTCTATCCCCAGCGTATCCTCATCCTTAATGCACCCTGCACCCCCCACAAAATGCACCCAGTGCACCCCCATATCCCATGCACCCCCATTCCCAGTGCACCACACATCCAACACAGTGCACCCAGCACCCAGTGCACCCCCATCCCCGGTGCACCCTGCATCTCAGCACTTAATAATGCACCCACCCAGTGCAGGGTACAGCCCCCTACGAAATGCACCCAGTGCACCCCTATCCCCAGCATATCCTCATCCCTAATGCACCCAGTGCACCCCCATGCACCCTCATTCCCAGTGCACCCCACATCCAACACCAGTGCACCCCCATCCTCAGTGCACCCTGCATCCCAACACCTAATGCACCTGGCACCCAGTGCAGGGTACAGCCCCCTATGAAATGCACCCAGTGCACCCCTATCCCCAGCATATCCTCATCCCTAATGCACCCAGTGCAGCCCCATACCCTGTGCACCCCCCACCAAATGCACCTCACATCCAATACCAGTGCACCTAGTGCACCCCCATCCCCAGTGCACCCTGCATCCCAACACCTAATGCACCCAGTGCACCCCCATACTCTGTGCACCCCCCACCAAATGCACCTCACATCCAATACCAGTGCACCCAGTGCACCCCCATCCCCAGTGCACCCTGCATCCCAACACCTAATGCACCCAGCACCCAGTGCAGGGTACAGCCCCCTACGAAATGCGCCCAGTGCACCCCACACCCAGCACGCCTCCATCCCAGTGCATCCCGCATCCCCCACCAAATACACTCAGCACCCTGCTCACCTCGCACCCACTGCACCCACATTCGCGGTTCCCCCCCACCAAATGCACCCAGTGCACCTCCTGTCCCCCGCCAGCACACCCCAAACTCGGTGCACCCAGCACCCAATGCCTGTGCATCCCACAGGGAACGCTCCCAGCACTCACTGCCGGTGCCCCCCGCATTCCATATACCCCCCACCTAGTGCACCCCGCACCCAGAGCACCCCCATCTCCAGTGCACCCCGCATCCTCCCCCAAATGCACCCAGCACCCAGTGCACCTCCTGCCCACTCATCCTGCACCCTGTACACGCAGCACCCAGCGCCCTGCACCTCTGCGCCCCACTACCAACGTGCCCCAGCACCCAGGACACCCAGAACCCTCATCCTGCACCCTCATGTCCCAGCGCACCCCACACCCAGTTCACCCCCTTACCCAGCACTCGAGCACCCCCAAACCAGCGTCCCCAGCACTAAGTGCACCCTGAAACCAGTGCACCCACCACCAACTGCTCCCCATACCCAGCGCACCCCAGCATCAACACGCACCCAGCGCACCCCAGCACCCACTGCCCCCCGCGCGTCCGAGCCCCCCT